AGAGTACAACAGAGGTATATGTGACTTTTGAGTGGATGTGGTGCTTGGAGGGGACATTGATGTGATGCAAGGAGCTGATGGGAATTTTCTTTAGGGCCCTGGGAAAGAAAGAGGATGTTGTAATCAAGGAAAAAAGAGGAAGTGGCCATATGAGTAAGCATCCCTGATTTTGCCTTCTTCTACCTTGAACTACCACCATGAGGTTCTGTAATTGCTTCTAGGGCAAAACACTTTCAAGTACATCCTTCAGTTTCAAGGAAGAAATGAAGAAAACAATGAAGTTTTGCCACCTGTCTGCGTCTATGGCTGGTAGTAAACCATTCATAAGAAATACTGTTAGTCATTTCCTTAATGCATTGTAGATACCATAACCAAAATTACAGATCATTTCACTTTCAGAAAACAAAAGTAGCACTTAAAGTCAGTGATAAAACCCTTCAGTGCAAGCATCCCTGGAAAGGTGAGATCAACATTGTAGAATACAAACTACTACTGATTTATCTGACTTCAGGAAAGAGAAAAATTTATAATGATATTCCTATAGAGTAATGAATCTCCTTGTCTAATATGTCTGGTATGAGTTTGTGTTCTCTAAAGTCAAAGAATGAATTTTAGGAACAACAGAAATTAAGAGCACAATATACTTATTAAGAGAAAGAAAGCTACCTGAGAGAGAGAAGAGGTCCTGAGCGGGATGCCAAACACTGTCCTTTATAGAGTAAAATCATGTGGTGAGATGAGTTTAAGGTGGGGAAAAATCAGAACTTATAATCCAGATGGGCATAAGACGGGACAGAGCTATGGTAGCCACTAAGATTATAAGTTCATGTAAAGTTGATTAAATTGGGAAAAAGGGGGAAAGGGAGTCACATAGAAAGCAGGCATTCTTAGGCAGCAGTGACTTTCCCTTAGGGTTTTGGGAGGGTGACTCCTGAGTTCATCAGGATGATAGGAAATATTTAAAATGTCAGTCTTTAGGATAAGCTTACTTTTCTTTGAATGGTGACTCCTGTCCTCCTCAGAGTGCTATGGGACTATTTAGAATATCAGTCTTTATGATATGGATGAATTTGCTTATCATTTGTCTTGAGACTTGGTCCATAGCATGAGGTCTTCCCCATAGTTGCACAGTATCTGGTTGCAGTCTTCCCCATAGTTGCACAGTATCTGGTCTCCTGCATGGACTCCTTGGAGGACCTAGCCCTGACTTATGCCAATACTATTTAAATAACTCAGGTGCCTGTAACAGTACTCTTTGGATAATTGATTACAGATGTCTTGTGCTGTGGATGAATGATCTGGGGATTACACTGTGCAGTGTATATTCCAGTGTTGCCCCCTGATTGACATGTTTTTAAATTTAATTTTAGTTGATGTGTTCTTTTTTCACTGAAATAGAATGGATTTGAAAATTAAAAGCCCGAGGTAAACCTCTTCAGTACAAACACTCCTCTGGTCAAGCTGAGATCACCACTGTAAAAGAATGGCAGCTCCAGAAGTCTCTGCACTACAGTCTATCATTTGAGATCCTCTCTTGCAGGGAGGGGTTTCTTCCATGTTGATTCTTGACTCAGAAGGAGAGCAGTAGAGCAGGATTCAATCAGTGATGAAGGGGCAGGCTATGTGAACTGTCCAGTTTTCAGGCCATTGCTAGCTGTGACTTTTGTCTCTTCTGGTGTCTCAGCATGATTTACCTTTTCTGAGTCCGATACTGGTAGCAAAATGCTTGCTGCATCTCATTTAGTACTTTCGATGTCCTGTGGCCTGATTAGCAAAGAATCTGAGGCATCCTGGAGCCATGAAATGGTGAGGTTGTGGATGGGAGCCCAGAGTTAGGGTGGATTCAGTGAAACCAGTTACAAGTATGTAGAAGTAATTCCTGTGTCTGGAGCCTCAGGTATTTAGTTAGCTTCAGCTCCTGAGGTCCTCCAGCATTGGCCATGGGTCATTCACTCTCCCTTTTGCCTCTTGCTGTTCGCAAGGGTGATTTGGGGTCCCCAGAACTCTAGCTTCACTATTACAGCAGCAGACTCAAGTATCATCTTTGGAATTCACTGCTGGCTTAGAAACTCCACAATCTTAGGCATTGGAAGAAGCTTGAGAAGACCCTGACTATGATGCTTTTTATAGCTTGTAGAGCAGTAATGAGCTAGGTCTCTGCTCTCTATCCTCAGAGTAGAAGATCTGGAATGTCCAAAGTTTATTAATGTCTGTAATGCAGGGCCTCATTGCCACAATGGTTCAACTTAAACTTGGGCTTTTTTGTATTTATAGTGATCTCCTCAATTTATAGTATGTTCTCATATTTCCATCCTCATGACAGGTAGTCGCAAAGGTCCTGAGAATTCAGAGACGTGTAGTAGTGTGCCTCAGTGGAAAAAGGCTTCCCAAACAACTCATGAACTCCTGTGTATTATACAGATCAGTGCAAAATAATTTCTGAACATAATTATTTAGGTGGCACACTTGCTCACAGACTAGGTTTGTGAGCACAGCCATAGAGTTTTGAAGTCTGAGAAAAAAGAAGCAAATATGAAAGTGTTATCAAGGACAGGGTAAAAATTTGCGAAGGACGAATTCCAGAAAGGGCTAGCTGTTAAATTCTCATCGAAAAATACTGAAATTCAGGCATTTGCATGCACATATACATGTGATATCCATCTGAATGGAAAGGAATAGGTGTGTCATCTCTGAATTAAGAGCTAATTTAGTGTCTTGGTTTTTCATAGACAGTTTAAATATGGAAATGCTCTGCAATGGAATTTAGTAAGTGGTATAAAGGAGAAGATCTAAACAGAAATTTTGCAGTGATATCAATAGTTAGGCATGAAGGGTTTCCTGCTGAGGATGGAACAGAGGAGTGTGGAAAGGATGTGCAAGTGACTGACAGGATTCAGGAAGCCTATAGCAGGACATACAACAGAGAGTGTCTTCACTGAAATTCAGGTAGTTCTTAGAGTAAGCATGAAGTTAAAGTTGGGTTCTGATTGCTTCCTGGAGGTGATCAACACCAGCTCTGGCAACAATCAGTATTTCACATCCTTGTCAACCCATGAATTTTGTGTTCCATACTTGAGATCTAATTTGGATTATCTCTAATTATGCCCCCAGTGTCATGAAGGTAAAATGTGCATTTTTTTGTACCAAGGATCAAACTGATTACCTATGCTTTCCAGGCAGGTGTTCATGCCACTGAGCTAAATACCCAACTTTCTCTTTGTTGTATGGAAGATATCCACATTGTTTCTCATAAAGTGTTGAATATTGTTGGAATTTTTCCATATTGTATGGCTATAATTTTTAAAAACCAACTAAAGGTGTCTTATGCAGTTTCTTTTCAAGTTTCACTTTGTCTGTGGGGTGTCTCAGTCAGTGTTTCTCTACTTTAGACCCCTCTGTAACTTAGGATAGTCCCAAATTCAAGGAAGAAGTCCTTCACCAGCCTCACAAGATATGTTCCTTATATCTGAATTGAAAGTGATCGCTTGGTAACAGTGAGCTATATATTACAGCTTGGGCCTGGTTCCATTTTATATACTTATTTTTTAAAAACAGCATTTACCACTAACATTTGAGTTATTATTTGTGTACCATATTGGAGGTTATTTATGTTTTGTTCTATGAAACCAAATTCATGTTTCAAAATGCTGCTGAAGTATATTAAGAACAAAGTACTCACTGGCCTAAATGAGATTTGAAGAGACATTATCTGCAGCGTATCAACGTGATTGATGAGATTTTTTTTCCTTTTTTCAAATTTTGAAAGTGGTAAAATAAAACAGAACAAGGCAGAATAAGGTCAATTAAGATCATACAGTGAAATTGGTACACAACTTCACAACAGGTTACTGCGATAACAATAATAGGTATCAGAGTATATTTTATTATCTTTATAATAGTTGTTCTTTCAAACAAATATATCAAAATGAGATAAAATACAGAGCATTATAGTACTTATCAAAACAGAATTTTGAATAGAGCGATACCATTAATCAGAATAGAGTAAAACAGTAATAAAAATATTTGCCTTCAAAGAGATAGTAGAAGGAAGTTCCCCTTATTTGTTATGGTCTGCTTCCCAGGAGACACTCAGATTTCTGTTCCCCATTTGCTAACGGGGGGTGACAGGAAAAGAGGGGTAGGGAAGTGGGATGTTTGATTCTAGGCCGTGCGTCAGTAGGTTCACTATTGCTTAGTAGGGAGACAGGCCGGTTGTTTGGTTTCACAGCTTCCTAAGTTCCCACATGGCGTGGATCTCAGGAGCTGCTGCTGGTTCTCCCCTGAAAGGGCCACATTCTGCCAGACCGCCACTGCTTACCAGGGAGAAGTGGTGCTTGCTTGCCTTCCAAGTGTCCTAAATTCCAGCCTGGCATGGATCTCAGGAGCTGCTGCTGGTTTGCCCCCTGGATGGGCCACAGTCTGCCACACCGCCACCACTTACCAGGGAAGGCAGGTGCTTGCTTGGCTTCCCAGTTGATTGATGGGATATTTATGTCTCTGTGCTTTGTGGATGCTGGTCCTGCAGGCTTCTCACTGTGAGCTCTGCATTAGAGACAGTATACAGGGACTATTGCAGTGACTCTGCACAAGAATCAGTACTACTATTTCACTATTACAATAGCAGTGAGTTGCAATCTATCATCAAATTTGCTGTCTTCAAAAATGTGTACATATACAAAATTAATGACCAAGACATGGATTTAAATTTGAAGACATCAGTCTTCATTCAGCTGTTTTGTTTGGTTGTATTTGTTTAGTTTAGTTTTGTTTTATTGAGACAAGCTTTCTACATGTATATCAGCTGGATTTGAATACCCTATGGAGCCTAGAATTGCCCTGAACTCACTGAAACTATCCTGCCTCAGCCTTTTGAGTGCTGGCATTATAGATATATACCACCACACTTTGCTTTTGATTCAGATTTGTAGGACAGAATTTAAGATATCCCAAACCTGGTGTCTCAACCTTCGTGTGAGAAATATATGTGTCATCCTTTAGGAGGTGGTGACCTTTGAGGATGTGGTTGTGAACTTCAGCCATGAGGAGTGGACTTTGCTGAGTCCATCCCAAAAGAACCTCTACAGAGATGTGATGGGAGAAACCTTTAGGAACATGACTGCAATAGGTAAGGACAAAATACTTTTGTCACTCATGCTGTCAGAATGTTGTATGTTGCACATCAGTGCAGTTTCATTAAACACAATGTGAAAATATTTTTAAAAATAACTCAGACCTGGACACATTATATCATAACTCTAAACAAAATCTATTAATTTGTATGTATTATTCTAATGAGTGCTGGTATTTCTATATTTACAATTCAGGAGGACTTGGGAATATCCAGGAACCTGAAAAAGAATGCAAAATTTACTGGAGATACTTAAGGTAATTCACACTCATAAGGAGAAGGAATGTTCCTGAGTAATTAGTGAGTCAGCAGAAAAATACCGCCAAAGAAATGAGGCACCATTCAATTTATTGTCAGTAATATTCTCCGAAGACGTATAAGGAGTTATGACATTCTCCCTTCAGTTTTTCTACCCATATATACATGTGAATACAACACATTCCTCATCTAAACATTACTAAGATTGCAATAGAATTTGAAATAAAATGGAGTTCTTGTGTTTCCAAGCCATGCTCTAAAGAATCAGCCATTCTGACTAAAATTCTTAGAAGGCTGGTAGAATGTTAAGTGCACTCATTCTGAATATCAGTGTGCAGTTGTCTCTAGAAATTGATCCCCTCATACTTGTCCTGGATATATTTTTAAAAATTCAAGATGCACATAAAATAATGGTACATGCTTACTCATTTACAAAGCAGATCAAGTTATCATAGATCAGATCTTGAAGAAGCTTAGCTGTCTATCACTGGATTTGTGGAGAAGGAAAATGTTAATGGACTCTCTGTGATTGTGCATTCTTGTAAATGCAGCACACTAGGAATCAGATTTTGTAGAATGGCAAATTCAAGTTCAAACTTCACGGCTTAATGATCAGTGAAAATCTCTTAAAACACATTTTAAAAGCTATAGATTTTATGCTAATAGCTGTTGTTCATTCCCAGCATGGAAAAGAAAAAAATGTCTTATATAATGTCAAAAAATAAATAATATAATGTCATTTGCCATAAGAAATAGGTGGTTCTTTCTCCCATCAATTCGGTGAAATAGCTCAGCTATAAAACCTAAAAGTTCACAGGTTACCTTTTAGATGAGAAACCAAAATATAAATTGTGGAATGAAATGAAAGAGTTAATAGAGAAAAGTAAGAGTGACCATATGGAAAAGCGAACTGCAGGTTAAGGACAGAAGGGAGATTGTGATGGGGAAACATATCAGAATGATCTGTATGTGATACACACATGTACCCATGCCCAAAGTGAAGATAAAGATTCTGCATTTCAAAAGGTACCAAATTTTAAGATTTCCAAATGTGTACCAGTCTTTTGGGAATGGTTGTTTTCAACATGTCTTATAAGGCCATTCTGTTACTTCACGGTCAGAATTTCTTAGAAGGCATTAAAAACAGAACTTGACATTAATGCAGTCATAAAACTGAGACCCATTTCACTGTGAGTGTTTCTTTTTTTTATTTAATGTAAGAAAAGACTAAAAAAAACCAAAATAAGTAGAAATGATACCACTTTCAAAGTGAAAATAAACAGTAAGAAATCTAAAGACAATGATTACATATGCTACTCATAGAAATAGTTAATGAAATACAAAAGTGAAACATATGAAGTGGGGATTCAAACAGCGAGACTGCAAACAGTTTTATTCAAATCTCCAATAAAAACTTAGTAATCTGGTTATCAATCCCATATGTGATTTTTTTTTACAGAAATGACAAGCTAGGGAAATCCTATGGACATACATCTTGGAATCAGTGTAAAGAAGTATTCCCTTGTACTGCAGAAGGTAATGTGAATGTGAAAGAAGCAGAAACACACCACAATATTCAGATCCATGAAAAATATTGCAGTGGAGAGAAATCCTATGTATGTCAGCAATGTGGAAAAGGGTTCAGCAAATCTGGACATTGTAAGCAACATGACATAATTCACACTGGAGAGAAACCCTATGTATGTAAGAAATGTGGGAAAGCTTTTAACACACGGGGAGATTGTAAGAAACATGAAAGAATTCACACTGGAGAGAAACCCTATGTATGTAAGCAATGTGGCAAAGCTTTGAACACAAGGGGATATTTTAAGAAACATGAAAGAATTCACACTGGCGAGAAACCATATATATGTAAGCAATGTGGGAAAGCTTTTACCCGACATGATTATTGTAAGCAACATGAAAGAATTCACACTGGAGTGAAACCATATATATGTAAGCAATGTGGGAAAGCTTTTAACACACAGGCAAGTTGTAAAATACATGAAAGAATTCACACTGGAGAGAAACCCTATGTATGTAAGCAATGTGGGAAAACTTTTATCACACATGGACATTGTAAGAAACATGAAAGAATTCACACTGGAGAGAAACCCTACGTATGTAAGCAATGTGGCAAAGCTTTTACCACACAGGCAAGTTGTAAAATACATGAAAGAATTCACACTGGAGAGAAACCCTATGTATGTAAGCAATGTGGGAAAGCTTTTATCACACATGGACAGTGTAAGGCACATGAAATTATTCACACTGGAGTGAAACCATATGTATGTAAGCAATGTGGGAAAGCTTTTACCCGACATATCTATTGTAAGCAACATGAAAGAATTCACACTGGTGAGAAACCCTATGTATGTAAGCAATGTGGGAAAGCTTTTATCACACATGGACATTGTAAGGCACATGAAATAATTCACACTGGAGTGAAACCATATATATGTAAGCAATGTGGGAAAGCCTTTAACACACGGGGAGATTGTAAGAAACATGAAAGAATTCACACTGGAGAGAAACCCTATGTATGTAAGCAATGTGGCAAAGCTTTTAACACACAGGCAAGTTGTAAAATACATGAAAGACTTCACACTGGAGAGAAACCCTATGTATGTAAGCAATGTGGCAAAGCTTTTAACACACGGGGAGGTTGTAAGAAACATGAAAGAATTCACACTGGAGAGAAACCCTATGTATGTAACCAATGTGGGAAAGATTTTAACACACATGGACAGTGTAAGGAACATGAAAGAATTCACACTGGTGAGAAACCATATGTATGTAAGCAATGTGGCAAAGCTTTTAACACACGGGGAGATTGTAAGAAACATGAAAAAATTCACACTGGAGAGAAACCCTATGTATATAACCAATGTGGGAAAGCTTTTATCACACATGGACATTGTAAGAAACATGAAAGAATTCACACTGGAGAGAAACCCTATGTATGTAAGCAATGTGGGAAAGTTTTTACCCAACATGGACATTGTAAGCAACATGAAAGTTCATATTCAAGATAAAATGAGTGTATATAAGCATCATGAGAATTTTTTGACCACAATTACATATTGCATAATGCATGAAAAACTTCACACTGGGCAGAAAACTTATATATCTAAGGAATGTGGGAAAGGTTTCAGCAGAAATGCTCATTGTCCAATACATGAAAAAATTTACACTGTTGAGAAACCCTGTTTATGTGAAGAATGTGGGAAAGCTTTCACCACACATGGATTTTGTAAAATACACCAATGACTCCACACTGGTCGAGAAACCCTATGCATATAACAATGTGGCAAAGCTTTTACCACATACAGTCATTGCAAAACAGATGAAACAATTCACACTGGGATTAATCACTGGCTACGTAAGCAAGTGGAGACACTTTCAGCATCCAAATTGTAAGTGAAATACATGAAGAAACTCACACAAGAGATAAATCCTATGTGTTATGGGAATACTCTCAGCACACATGATCATTGTTACATATCTGAAAGAGCTCACTGGATCCTATATGTATTAACATGTGGAACATATGGCAATCCATGTTTGTTGTTAAATACATAGAAAAAGCAGGACTCTTCAGATAGTTTAGATCTAAGTTTATTTTAAAAATTCCAGGTAGACCTGAAAAATAATCAATACAGAAATTTGATGTCAATATTTCTTCACGAATTTTCCAGAAATGACAAATCTGAAGTGGAACTCTACTCAAGTACACATTTTGTATGGGTTTCAGTTAATCACTTATACCTCTTTAGATTTTTTAATGTGTCTTTTTGCTTCAACATGGCATCTTGTAATTGAACATGGTAAACTGAAATGGGCTTTTCACTTTCAAGTATGGATAGTGTCTAACATTTTGTTTTTAAAACTTAATTTTCATATTTTTGGTGAATTTTTATTTAAAGAAAAAACCAAAAAGTGAGGAAATAATACAGAATTTCTGAAAAATAAACAATAAGAAATCACTAGTTGATTAATTACATATTGTCATCTTAGAGATAATTGTTCAAGTTACAAAATTAAAGCATACAAAGTGATATTCAAATAATGACACTGCCAACAATTTACCTCAGTGATCCCAAAAAAACTTATTAATATGCTTATCTGTTCTACAAACTTGTTTTTTATCTTAAAGACGGTAAAGTTAAACATGACAAAACAGAACAGTTCATAAGGAAACAAGTTAAGGCAACAGGTTTCAAAGCAAGTCCACTAAGATGTTCATTTTCTATCTTAATGTCTCTAGTTTTCTTCCAAATAGTTGTTCCCATCTTCACATGCATTGAATATATACTGAACATTATAGAACTAATCAAATAATTACAGGATGATGCAGGCTTTTTTGATCTTGAAGACTGATGTTGGGGAAGTTTATAATGATTACCATAATGTGTCTCATTCTCTTCATAGTAGATCTCTTTATTTTTATGTATGCTGAAAATGAACATAAGAGACTAAACTAATATCACTCTGAACAGTGAATAATACTATCCTGAGAAGGAGAAAGGTGAGGAATTGCCTAAAAAAAAGAAGACAGAGGACATTGTTAAAAGTGTATCAGGATTTAAAAGCTACAGTAGTTCTGTTGCTCTGTTTAGTTTGATTATATTTTGTTCTGGTCTGTCTACTCATATTAGATTTGAGGGCACAGAGAGGTAACCCAAAAATAGCAGGTTATACCATGATGGTAACTGTCCTTAATTTCCTATTAACTAAAACTTAAACCCTGTATTACTTACATTGTCTTACTATGACTGATCTTATTGGACTCAGGTTTGTTTGAATGTTATTTGGCCTTGACTGATTTTATTCACATTTGGTATGCTTGCTGGTATCAAGTCCAAGAGTAGAGGCAACTACTCTGAAGATGATAAGATGTGAAAGATATATATTGGGGATTTAGCTCAGTGGCTTAAGCTCCTGCCTGGCAAGTGCTAGGTAATCAGTTTGATCCCCAGTACCAAAAGATAAATAAAAGATATAAATTCCAGGTTTATTTTTTTTATTTAAAGAGAAAAAAAAGAACATAAAAAACAAAGCAGTAAAAGGGTACAAATCATACAGAATTTCAATAAAAAATACAGTAAGAAATCACTAGTTAATAGGTTACATATTATCTTCTTAGAAACAGTTGTCCAAATTATAAAATTAAAGCATATAAAGTGAACATTCCTACAGCGAGATTCTAGACAGTTGCATTCAGTGAACCAACAAAGCTCAGTAATATGGTTTTCCTTCCTACACACTCAAACAGGCAATTATATCTCTTAGACTACCTTCCTTTCCTCTCTTCTTCACAATTACATTTACACTTTTGGGTTTTTTTTTTTTTTTACTCCCATAGTTCTTATTACTTTTTTTGAAGAGAATAAAACCTCAAGTGAGTTAAAAAAAAAACAGAGTTGGTTAGAACATAAGGATGGGCATAGTACTTGATGCAAAAATAGAATATCAGGTGATCAAAAATGGTTACCATTGTGCCTCTTGCTATTTTTTTAAAAAGTTGCTATATCATCAGTTATAATAGAATTGATCAAAACTGTACAGAACAAGACCAATAAAATCTACACTGGAGACCTTACAGGATTTCAAAAGAAGATAATAGTCAAACCATAATGGGCATCATAGTAAATCTTATTGTCTACAAAGTGGTTGCCTATACCCTTAAACTTGATACTATCAAACAAAATAGAATATAGTAAAATCAGGCAGAACAAGATGGGTCGAGCAATACTGGGGTTAAAATCAGGTTAATAGGAAAACAAAAAGTTACTATAATATATCCCACTATTTTTTAATTTAGTTTTATTTTAATTGAAAAAAATAAGAAAACATAGAATAATTTTGTTAAAAGGGTGGAGATCGAGATAAAAGAGACATTGTCATAGAACATCACAGGTCAGAACTGCACAGTTAAAGCATTTTGTTTCACCACCAGATAATCTAACATAATATTAGTCACCATAGTGCCTCTTTCCTTGAATTGTTTGAGTATAATGTCGTATACTATAGAATCAATCATATCAAGACAGTGTGAAGCCATTCAAGACAATGAAAGAATTACAGAGTATTTAGAGCCAGTTAACAGAAAATGGACAACGATTTCTATATTATCTCTTTGTCTGTGAAAAATTTTATTTATACTTTCACATAGAGTAAAATATATTAAGTTACAACATGTTAAAACCAGTGGTAACATGTACAACAGCTTGATGGGAGTTCCAAAGAAGATGATATTAAATCAGCACTAGCTTTTATGATGTGTTATTTTCTTCAGAATAGCTATTCGTACTATCACCAATACTAAAATCGAAAAACCCAGGGTAAAACCATTGCACTTAATACCATGTTGATTGTACTACAGTTGCTTTGTAGTATAACTTCAAGTCAGGGATTGTGGTACCTCCTGCCTTGCTTTTGCTGCTTCTAACTGTCCTTGCTATTCTAGGTTTCTTCTCATCCCAGATGAATTTTAGGGATGATTTCTCAAGTTCTATGAGGTATGTTGATGGTATTTTTATCAGGATTGCATTGCACTTAATAATGAGTGAAAACATTATATGGATTCAAACCAATATGATTGGGTATCATGATTACCACATACTTCTATGTATTATCATTTCTTATACTAGGGAATATATTCAGTATTTATACATGTGAGTTTGATTTATTTCACTTATGCGTATGGTCTCAATCTGCATCTATTTATTTATATGTCAATGTGATCATTATTTATAGCTGAGTAGTACTCCATTGTATAAAAACACCATAACTTTTTTATCCATTACTCAGTTGATGGACACTTAGGTTGTTTCCAAGATCAGGCTATTACAAAATGTGCTGCTATAAAAATGGGTGCACATATATCACTGTGGAATGATGCTTTCAGTTCTTCTGTGAATATGCCTAGAATTAGAATAGCTGGATCAAAAGGTGCTTCCAGTCCCAGCTTTCTGAGAAATCTCCAGACTGATCTCCACAATGGTTGCACTAGTCTACACTCCCACAAACAGTGCAGGAGAGTTCCTTTTTCCCAACAGCATCTCTAATATGTGTTGTTGGTAGTTTTCTTGATCTTGGCCATTCTTTCAGGAGTGAGATAAAATCTCAGTGTGGTTCTAATTTACATTTCTCTAATGACCATTGATGGTGAACATTTTTCATGTATTTATTTGTCATTTGTATTTCTTCACCTCAAAATGGTTTATTCATCTCAGATGCTCATTTTTGGATTGGTTCTTTGAATTTTGGTGGTCTCATTTTTAAAAATACTTTATATGTTATAGACAGAAGTCCTCTGGCTGAGGGGCAGTTCACTAAGACTTTTTCCTAGTTTGTGGGTTTTCTTTTCACTATACTGGAGATTTCTTTTGATGTGCAGAAACTTTTTATAAGAGGTTATCCCAGTTATTGATTCTGGGAAGCATTTCCCGTGTGGTTTGAGTCCTGTTCATCAATTCTCTACCTACTCCTATGTCTTCAAGGTTTTTACCCAATTTGTCTTCCCATAGATTTAGTGTTTTTGTTTTAATATTTAGATCTTTGATCCATTTAGATTTTATTTTAGTACATGGTGATAGGCATGGGTCTAGTTTTAGTTTTAGGCATATGGAGAGCCTTTTTTTCACCACCATTTATTAAACAGAATGTCATTCTTCCAGTGAACATGTTTGGCCCATTTATCAAAGGTAAGGTAGTTGAGTGTGTTTGTAGTGGGGGTTGTATCTTCTCATCGATTTCACTGATCTTTGGCTCTGTTTCAATTCCAGTACCATGTTGATTGTACTACAGTTGCTTTGTAGTATAACTTCAAGTCAGGGATTGTGGTACCTCCTGCCTTGCTTTTGCTGCTTCTAACTGTCCTTGCTATTCTAGGTTTCTTCTCATCCCAGATGAAATTTAGGGATGATTTCTCAAGTTCTATGAGGTATGTTGATGGTATTTTTATCGGGATTACATTGCATCTATATTGCATCTATATAAAAGTTTTGGGAGAGTGGCCATTTTCACAATA